AGGATTCCTCTGTGAGAGATGTTACCGTCAAAGCCACTTTTCCCACACGCATTTTGTTTCCAAACTTTCTTGCAACGTCATCGATGTTTTGCTTTCCGTCTCCTATAAATTTTAGTCTCTCCTGCAGTGTTCTTGCTTCACATAGGAGATCATCAAGTGCCCCATTCTGCCACATTGTCAATCTTCTCTTCATTGCTGCTGTATTTTCTTTGTGCTCAGTCTTTGTGTGTGTCCTCTGACAGAATAGATGTGGTATTATTGCCAGTATTTGAAGAGCTACAGGGGCAAGGAAGCAGTCCTGAGTGTACTCAGTTATGAGGCGAATCATCTCCCGAATCATTTCCTTGGTGGCCGCACACTTGGGTGGTTCAAACAGGTTAGCTGGCGACCACCTGACAATTTCTGAGTAAGTTTCTTTAACCCATATGTCCGCATTTTCCATCGACATGCCATTCCACTGTGGTGGATGTCTCTCATTCACCTCGTAGACATCTGCTACTATTGGAGCAGCGTTTATTAGTACTACATTTCCAGGTTGAGTAGACTCACTGCTATCATTTAGGATATCATCGGGCGGTTGGGTCCCGGCGATATCCACTGTGGCCTCCTGTGTCGGCTCCCTGCCTTGTGGGTTCCGACAATTGTTTCCCTTTCTGCAAGCCACACATGGTCGGTTGTTTCTCGCACACTCACAGCTAGTGCAATTTTGGTACTGGCTAGCACAGACGCAGCAATGTCTGTTACCCGGCCTAGTGTTCCGCACCTTGGGCGACAGTTACGTCCGCTTCTAACATCTGCTTTGGTCCCATACAGAAGAAGAAACTAGTTCTTATGAGTAAAGGGCAGAGAGGTGACAGGCTGGACTGCTGTGTCCGGTTAGTAGGGGCATACATGCATACTACTACTACTACTGTACTTCTAAATAATAATAATAATAATAATAAAAATAATAATAATAATAATAATAATAATAATAATAATAATATTAATAATAATAATAATAAAAACAACTACTACAGTAACAATCTATAATACTCAATCATTAAACCATTTTCTCCCATATAAAAAAGACTTATAGTCAATGCACTAAAACTTCTTCACTTTCAAAGACTTTTCTCGACTTTCTCTGGTAAAAGGTGACACGAGGAGGAAATTAAACAGTACATCACTTTGACACCCAGCTGAAGGTGTCTCTCTCACTTCAATCAAATACATTAGTGAACCCTTGAATATTTAACATGTCTGTCTGTCTGTCTGTCTGTCTGTCTGTCTGTCTGTTTGTCTCTGTATATATGAAGGATCAAATATATTCTAATTCATTACAACCGTCTCTCATTTATAGGATGAAATCTACTTAAATCTACTCCCCTCCTGGTCAAAGGAGGCGTGTAGGGTGTCCTCGTCTATGTCAAGGGAAGGTGAGAGAAAAATTGTCGTAACTTTTCTTAATTGGATTACTTTCAAAGGCACAAACACACACACACACAATTTTCCTTAGTGAAAGTTATCGCAAATATGTTAATGTTCTCAACAATGGTCCGCCCCCCCCCTCTCTCTCTCTCTCTCTCATGCTTAAAGAGGCACTTTACTGTTGCCTAGCTTGTATAATCTTGCAGAAGGTAATGTTGCATCTAAACTTTCCCGAGACATAGACGCGAGGGAACAGTGTAGCATAGATGACGGTACGTAATAGCATAGATGACGGTACGTAATAGCATAGATGACGGTACGTAATAGCATAGATGACGGTACGTAATGGCAGAGATGACGGTACGTAATAGCATAGATGATGGTACGTAATGGCATAGATGACGGTACGTAATAGCATAGATGACGGTACGTAATAGGTATAACAATTTGGGTGCTGGTACGTGATATATGACGTTGATTGGCTAATTAATTTTAAAGTCTGGCGTTGATTGGCTAATTACATTCAAAGTTTGGTGTTGATTGGCTATTTATACGTGCTTTTATGGCGTTGATTGGCTACTTCTATGTTGGTTGGTCCCTTAAATGTGTCATCTAAAGTTGATTGGTCCCTTACAGTATTTTCAAGCGTTGATTGGTCACTTGCATGTATCTTCTGTCTTTAACTACTCACTCGCGAGTCTCCTCTTGTGCTGATTGGCTACATCCATGTGTCCTTCCAACCTGAATAGACAATCACAAGTGGTGGTTGATGCTCGCTCCACCTTGACACCTCCTCTAATACTCAAACATGAAAGCGATCGTTCAGGTGTTCCTTAAGTTTGTGACACTCGGAATTGGTGCAGTTGGAGGCCATCGAGTGTCAAGTATGCTGGATGTCCTCCTCGAGATGAACGGAAGTAATGGTGAACGTGCCTCCTCACCCTCCACGAGTCTCGCCAACATTATGGACTGAAATTGTTCCCTTAGATTTTTATTTTTTGTCTCTGAGCTCCAACTACGTAGCTACTTCTTGTCTCTACACCTTGCATGGCTGTGTGTCTCTCTGGGCGTCTATGTTCGTGGTTAGTAGTGTAGGTGAGTGTGGGGCTCAGTTATGTGAAGGTGAGCAAGACTTTTTCCATCCAGCCCAGCGTTCAAGATCTTTATTAAGGCTATTTCCGGGGAGTGTTTTAAGTGGGTGTCGTGTGACCTTCTGCTTCTTGTTGAATATTAACTAAAATTTAGATTTCCTTTTGGAGTTTCACTTGAGGTTTAAGGGGCACTTGATACCATGAGTGAATTACTTTTCCATTAAGAATTTGTAGTTATTTAAGTTGTTCTCAGATTTTGAATTTTGTTGTTGTTGTTGTTGTTGACTCTCCTGATGTCTTGTATTCTGACTACTCCAAGTTGATTGTGTTTAGCCGTCTGCAAGATCTAAGGTGTCGGCAGGCGTGGGTGTTGGCAGGTGTTGGTGTTGGCAGGTGTTGGTGTTGGCAGGTGAGTTAATTACGATACTGATTAAGATATTCCTCAAGACGAGATCAAAGACTCCATACCCTGACATAAACAAACACTTTCACTCAAGGTTGAGAAGGACCTTTGTTCACAGACAACTAAAACAAGTTTTTATCTCGTGTCAACAACCAGCTGGAGCAGTTCACTTTGGACACTAATTAGCCAACTTCCTCTAAATGTATCTCGTGGTGTAAAATTTGGTGTAGAACTGCCATCACGAAGGTCTTTAGTCCGCTGTTGTATGAGTCTTGTCAGTCATAAAGGCAGGCAAAAGGGTGAATTTTATAACATAGGTCGTTACGGCAGGTGTGTGTAGTGGATATTGTTGAGCTACTCAATGTAAACTTCATATTTAATTTCCACTTCCATAATCTGGTTATTAATAAATGTAGGTATTTGAGGTCGATGACATTTTACAATAGATTTTTCTTCTCTTCAAAAAGTAGCCAAGCTATCCAGAGAATAATAGAGGAAAATACTAGTCGCTGGCTAGTTTATTTGTGCATTTACAAGTGTTTTCTGGTTTTACATAAGCTACAATGACCACGTTACCTTCCTGTGTGGGCGGCTGAGCGTGGGAGGACAGTGTGGGCGGCTGAGCGTGGGAGGACACTGTGGACGGCTGGCCTTGGGAGGACAGTGTTGGGTGCTGAGTTGAGGACAGTGTGAGTGGCTGGGCGTGGGAGGACAGTGTGGGTGGCTGGGCGTGGGAGGACAGTGTGGGTGGCTGGGCGTGGGAGGACAGTGTGGGTGGCTGGGCGTGGGAGGATCTGCTGTGTTCTGGTGCCGTCAACACTCTCACTTTTTGTTTTGCTTTACTCAAGTCACTGCTGGTGCTGGATGCTGATGCTAGGTGCTGGATACTGTGTGCTGGGACTGGTCCCTAGGTACTAGGGGTGAAGCTGTCAGGGAATAACTCTGAGTTGCTGAGACAAGGCCAGCCAGGGTCGTCGGTAAGCTCCTTAGACACAACTGTGGCTCCTTGAGATATAAGCCTTGGAGTGGTCAGGAGGATTATGTAGCTAAATGGAGACTCCTACATCGGCTCGGGGGACTCCCAGCACCCCTGTAGTGACGATGACTGCTGGAGATTATATTACGATGACTATTGCAGAGATTAAATTCTCCTGTTGAGAATTTAATCTACAATTCTTCATTTTTGTTTCGGATCCCTTTGAGGAGAGAAACGGGCTAACCTAACCTAACCTAACCTGAGAAGCATACTTTAGTCCGCTTTACCAATGCTGTCGTTAGTGTGGCGCAGGCAACAGTATTCTGACAGTCACTAGCTAGCCTCCGGAGGTCAGCCAACTGAGTGTATTAGAAATTCTACTTCCCTAAGCAAGCAGGTGAAGTAACGGGGGCTATTACAGGTAAGTTCACTGCACTTACGGTAATTGTGCTTCGTGAGTGTTGTGTTGATGGTGGGTCAATCTCTCTCTCTCTCTCTCTCTCTCTCTCTCTCTCTCTCTCTCTCTCTCTGCATGACGGTCTTTTAGCGCGTGTGTGTGTATGTATGTGTGTGAGCTAGCATTACTTTTTATATCTATGTACATCTTTTTTGAGACAGTTCACGTAGACATTTAAACTACAACATTAAACACAGACTCTTTAGCAAACACCTCCATTCCCTTCATCAATGTCTTCCTCACCACACCTGCTGTAGATAAAACTCTCATTGTAGGTTAATATTTACTCACTACTTTTCATCATTTGGTTTCGTAGATTTGACAGATAACAAACTCTTCTACGGTTTATCCATTGTTGTATTATCTATAAGTAGGAGAAACAAACGTATTCCTGATAGGTTGGATCATAAGACAGCTCATTCTGATATATAACACCTCACAAATTTCCATGTCATTCTAACCTTTCTTACCTGTGGGATAAGGTTAATTGAGTGTGCTTAATATAAAACCCAACTAATCATTTCAACTTTATTACCTGTAATAAGATTAGTTGAGGCTGCTTCATGTATCACCCAACAAATCATACGATCATCCTTACCTGTAACATGTGGTTAGTTGATACTAATTAAAGTCACACTCAACAAATTCTTAACACATTCTTAC